CAAAATGGTCCTTAACCACGCAGTGGCTGTGGCGGGTACGAGGGTACGAGGGACAACCTGGACTGTGGATGCAGATCGTCTTTGTCCAGCCCTTCCTGAAAAGCAGCACCAGGCATAAGATAAAGGAAGAGCTGTATTTCTTCTAGCTCTCCACAGAGGGGAGGAAGAGCTTTGTCTGGCAGAAAGACAAAGTAACCTGCGACGTGGAAACCTGCTGTAACTTACCTTGCTCTCCCAATTTCTGTCTGAAGTAGGTAAAGGTTTGTAATGTTGGATGAGCAGCATTTGTCACAAAGGCACAATCTGCAACAGAGCTGAGTATCTTAGCTCAGTTTACTGGTGAGCAATCTGTTCTTGTACAGGAGATCTTGATGCTGTATTTCTTCAGAATATTCTGCTTTGTTTCTGCTACTTCACAATCCGAGCTCCCTCGAGCATTAAAAAAAAAGTGATCAAACACATTTATCTGAGCAAGGGATCTATCTGAGAGACCTGTGAGTGTTTATATAGAAAATTGAAGCCATATCTTTTGCAAATAAATATGACAGCTGCAAGGAAGGCAGGCAGTTCCTTAGTTTGTTACATCAGCTTCACTGCTCTCTCCATGAGCCCTTGCAGAGCTGGTTCAAACATGTTTACTGTACTGTAAATGCCATAAGCTCACCCCATCTGTAACAGAGCACATGAGCTCTCCATAAATATGCAGCACTACAGAAAATCAACCTGCATTTCCAGGGGAAATTATAACAAATGCTATATGTTCAAAATTATTGTCTGTACAGGAAAAATAATATACACAAGTGATTTGCAAAGGAGATAAAGACTGTCCAGCTGATAGTTCAGAAAAGCTCTTTCTCACTTCTGCATGGAGACAGAGGGCTCAAAAGAACCACAGTATGAAATTAAGAGCTGACAGGTGCAAATCTCAGCACAATTCCCTTTACAGGGAATCACACAGGTGGGTATTTTTAGTGAATGAAATATTGTGGCTTTGCATCCCCTACTTGAAAAGAAACCCCAAATTGCATCATTTCCAAATTTAGTGTTATGTTAAGGAATTAATCAAAGAGGGTATAGCCCATGTCACCTTAGAATCTAAATGCTGTGGTTTGACTGCATTAAATGAACCATCTTGATCTGACCTCAAGGCACATTTTATTTATTTAATGATTGTGGAACTGCGCAGCAGGATTAGTGTATTAGCAAGAAGGTCTGCCTGCATAAATGCTAATACTGAAAAGCTTATTCAGTCGACATATTATCATATCTAGAGAGATCATACTCAGTGGATGCACTCAAGAGACCAAACTGATTTCTCCAGAATGTTTTCTAGACAGCTTGGACCAGCACAAAACATAGGTCAGGGCTTATCTGCATGTTATCTCTGACCTTTCATTGAATGCATCCAACCTCACCTCTACCCTACAGTAGTTCCTCATCAGTGATAAGTGCAGGGGATATTGACACAGCAGGGAAGGTCCAAGCACAAGAAAGAGGTCTTGGAGGACGTAGCTGCACTGTGAGAAGATTTTCCTAGTTTTAGGAAGACACAGAGAGATGAGAACTGCTGGCTACAACTCACTCAAAAAACATTCCCTTCAAAACCACTGAGGAGTTTACCAGGGCACAGGTGAGTGCTGCAATCTTCCTGCTCCGAGGGGAGGGAATTACCTTAATATACCTTGCTGACACCACACAACAGGCTGGGAAATGTCAGGTGCCAGAGGAACAAAAAGTAGATTTGAAGGACTGAAAAAGCAAAAAACCCTAATATTTCCCCCCCCTCCAAAAAAAAAAAAAAAAGCACAAACCAGAAAAAGCAGTTTTGTAGTTTATAAAGACATTAAATATTCCAACCCCACCCCTCAAATGCAGGTGTAGAGAACAGAGGAACAGACACAAATTTATCTCTTTCCTGTAAGTAAGTTACTGCTGTGGCTTAGGAGAAATAGGACCTCCTTCTAAGTCTATGATACGTAATCTATTTAGAATTTTGTAAAAGCCAGCACATTTACTCTTCGTCCATGACTCCTTCTTCCTGCAAGTATTTTCCTCCCTACAGAATATCAAACAATTAATATCAAGTAACCATGTAGGAGCCTGGGGGCTGGAACCCACAGAAAATCCCCAGGGGGACTGGAAGCACATGGGTTTCTACAGCCAGTGCACATCCCACAGCATCAGGCACCTCCATGGGGATGGGCTGAGGTCAAGCCAGGTGATCAGTCTGCAGGTCAGGATCCAGGGCATCCACGGCTGGATATGTCTGTAGCAGAGCTGGAGACCAGCAGCCCTAAGCATAACTCAGGAAGGAGCTAAACCTCAGGACTGAGCGAGAATAGGGCCTATGGGCAGCCCCAGGTGAAGCTGGTCAGGGCTGTTAAGGTGGGCAGCAACAAAATAAACCTTGTAGAAATACTTACTAAATGAAATCCTCTGGATCCCTTTCCCCACCCACGACATAGGGCAGCCCAGTTCTAGTTCCGTTTCCATCTGAAGAACCATTGCGACGCTTTGAGGGATGGGGAAAGGGAACTCCAGGGGTTTCTCAGGGGTCTTTTCAGGCCCTGAGCCTGGAGGGGAAAGGTGCTCCCCCTCCCCCCCTTGCACGTGGCCCCATGGTCGGCAGGGAGACAGGACACAGAACACCGGGCGTGGAGAGGAGGCAAGAGAGAGTTTATTGTGGGGGATGTTACATTTATAGGGTTTAGGAGGATTCACAGAGTAACCAATTAGAAGTCTCAAGGGGTTTAAAGGAACACCCAATCACAGGAAGGGCTCAGGACACCTTCCCAGGACATTCCTGCATGGATAACATGGGGGGTGCTGGGAAGAAGAAGCATGTGTTTGCAAAGAGGACCACCAAAAGCCATTTTAAGACATGTTTAAACAACAGTTTCCCTATATAATGCAGGTTTAATGCTACAAAATGCCTCCCCTTGATCTACACTAATAAGGAGCATCTGGTAGGATCAGATAAGTAAATGTAGTAACACATGTGAAGTTATTGGATTCATAAAAAGAAAGGCCTTGCCTAAATTTAAAAAGTTCCTTCTTCATAAGTGTTCTACTCTAGCCATGTTTCACTTTCACATGGTAGAGCAGTTGCTCAGCCTACGCATACACAGTCCATAATATGATGCTTTTTTTAGTTGTCCCTCATGTTTTCCCCTTTTCCCCAGCAGTGGTCTGGAATAAACTCACAGCCTGAGCTGTGTCCATAGAAAGATGATCATTCAGGCAGAAATAATAAGGGAAAAAAACCTCGTTATAGATCTGACCTCTCGTGTACTTGGGAAACTAATTGCAATCAATGTCTTCAGCTACACACAATTTACTACAACATGATACATCTGGCCCATGAGGCAAGTAAAGCTGATCCCTGGCAATGGCCATCACTCTTCACACACCACTTCAAGTGACACTATCAGGTTCCCCACATGTGAGGCCCCTGTGATTTTGTACTGAATAACATTTAAACTTACAGAAGCGGGAATTGCTGCAAGCACAACTTCCAGGAAGCCACAAAGTGCAGTAGTTTCCACAGAATGTAACAAGATACGAGAATTCTCTGAAAGTCAGGAAATAAGTTAAGGAGAAATGCACACGGAGGCACTTTTTTTTTTTTTTTTTTTGTGGAGATGCAGAGTTCTGCGAGGCAGAGATCATGTCCTGCCCCTATCTTTGCAGAAACCTGTCTGGCTGAACACATTATGAAGCCTGTGTTTAACTGGATACCTAAGTAAGGCAAACACAGTAGGATTTTTTTTTTTTCAGAGGCTTTCAGCAGAATGTATTATTTTGCTTAGTGTTCATAAGAAAATTAATTCACTAAGTAACTTACATGCACAAGGAAATGCAGCTGGGCAATACTATATCTTCCATTTGGCTTAGCAATACATTTCACCACCATGTGTACATCCTAGCCTTAGAAAAGCAAATACATCAGGTACAGTGCAACATGTAGCTGTGAAATTCTCCTAACAAAATAACTCTGGCACGGGACTTGGGCCACGGATATATTTTTTGCTTGGACATTATGGCAGCTATAAGGATGCTGTACTTTTAACAGCAAACAAGAACAAAGGCAAAAATTGAAAAGATGCACAAACGTGCTCCTGGGTTAAAAGAAATCTCTAACTGTTGGATGGGAATGAGACAGACAGAGAGTTGAATTATTGCACAACTTTCAGTTTCAGAGATCTTTGTCCTTGAACAAACAGTACCAGCCACAGGTAAAGAGTAGTATTAAAGATATTTGATTCTCATCTGATACTGTAATTACAGTGGGACTTTTTTCCCCCTCCTCATTTGAATAAGAAGATTGCAATTAAGTGATTAAAAAAATCCCAGCAGAAGCCCTGACCTGCTGATGTTGAGGCAGCAAGACACTGACCCTCAACCCAGGGCATGGTGACTCTGACAGTCAAGAAAGTGACCCTTAGTCCAGGCACGGTGACTCAACAAAACCCTTTTGCCGCACAGGGAGAGAGAAGAGCCACAGAACTACAGAACCGCGTCTTTGCTCTCCGCCCTCCCCTCTCTCTCGGGCAGCTCCGGCTCCTGCGTATCGCTGCGCAGATGCTTCAGCAGGGCTCTGTCATCCCAGAGGGCTCGATGAGCCCTCGGAACGCGTTTCCCTGGGTGATTTCGGGAGGGGGTTCATCCGGATGAGGGGATCTGCGGGATGATTTGGGGGCTCCCTTCGGCCGGAGGAGCGCTCGGGGCTCTCCCCTCCCGCGCCGCTGTCCGCGCCCGTGGTGCTGAACGGGCCCCTCGCGTTTCCTCCGCGACCAACCGCGGGATTAAGGCTGCAGTAATCGGGGCCGGATTAACTCCCTGGAAACCGCCTGCAATCCGAGCAGCTGTAAATGTCCCCCAAACCGGGATATGGGGCGGGGTGGGGCGGGGTGGGGGGGGGGGGTAGTGGTGGTGAGGGCATCCACCGCCCAGATGCTGCGCCGCGATTAGTGAGAGAGGAAAAAAAAAAAAAAAATAAATCTAGTATCTCATCCGCTGCTTTTGGGAAGGGCTGGGTTGGCTGGGATCCGGCAGCCCCTCCTCTTCCTCCTCCCTCCTCCTCTTCCTCTCCTTCGCTCCCGTCCAAGCCGCCTTTTCCGCGGAGGGGGCGAGACGCGCGCAGAGCCCGCAGCCCCCCCTCCGGCCGCAAGCGATGGGCGACATCCCCGGCCTCGTGAAAATCAGCGTCTCCCTCAAAATCCAGCCCAACGACGGGGCCGTGTACTTCAAGGTGGACGGGCAGCGCTTCGGCCAGAACCGCACCATCAAGCTGCTGACCGGGGCCAAGTACAAGATCGAGGTGTCCCTCCGGCCCGGCACCGTCCAGGCCACGTAAGTGCGGCCGCCCTGCCCGGGGCGGCTCCCCCGACCCTGCCCTGCCCTGCTCTCCCTTCCCTCTCCTCCCCTTTATTTTTAGAGGTTTAATGTTTTTTCCTGGCAGGCTGACAGCGCGGGATTGCCGTGATTTCTGCCTCCCCGCCCTTTTTGCCTTGGTGGCCCCGTTTCTGTGTTCCCGGCCAGCTGTTCCCGGTGTTTGCCTGGCCGGCTCGGGAAGGAGGGAGGGAGGGAGGGAGGCTGCGTTTTGGAGTCGCTTCCTTCCCTCTCTCTCCCCACCTTCTCCCGGAGATTTTTTCGAGTCCAGCTCCTTTTCTCCCTCCTTCCCCGCGGTTTTTCCTGGAGGAAGAAGCCCCTGCAGCATGCCCAAGCCTCGCTGCAGCGTGGCAAAGCAGGGACTGGGACCAGATGGGGAACCAGCTCGGGGTGGAGGGGCAGCCCTGCAGAAGAGATTCGACTGACCTCTCCCCAGCTACTGGAAATCAGATCCCTCCTGCCTTTCCTTGCTACTCCTTCCCTGTGTGCCTACAGAGCCCAGACATTTTTCAGGAGCCCCAGTGAGTCAGCAGCACATGCAGGTCTGCTAAAAATCCCTGAAGCATCCCCCAGCACAGAGGCTGCCAGGCTGCAAGCCCACGTGCTGGCTCCAAGCTGCCAGGGAAGGGGACACACAGGGCTGAAAGGCTGGATCCTGTCTCTTTGCAGGACGATGGGCATCGGGGGTGTCAATGTCCCCCTGGAGGAGACATCGCGGGATGCACAAGTGGCCTCTTACACAGGAATCTATGACACAGAAGGGGTGCCCCACACCAAGAGTGGGGAGAGACAGCCCATCCAGGTCAACATGGAGGTATGTATATCTCCCAGCCTGGCATGGGAGGGCAATGGAAGGCAGCAGGGGGTTGACTCCCAGAGAGAGTGTGGAGGTGAAATATTCCAGGGCAAAGTCTGATCGCAGCTGCAGCCTCCTCTTGCTTTGTGTCAGTCAGGCTGCTGACCAGAATGTAGTCCTGCTTCTTTCTCTCCCCAGAGAGCAGGAAGGGCCAGGGAGGAGCAGGGGATTTTCTAGAGACCTGCAAAGCCCTTTGGGGTCCTGCAGCAGAAAGAATTATGAGCTGAACCTCTCACGTCTTCTGAAGGACTTAACCAACTCCCACCAAGTTCCCTGGCTAGAAATCCAATCCCTTGGCATACAGGGACCCCTCTTCTTGCCAGCACTACCATTTTATTTTGATGCAGAGCGTGCCCCAAGCACAAGGGGTGACTATTCTCCCCTTCCACCTGTCATCTGCAGGATGCCTTAGGACCTGCCGGAGACTGAAAACATGTGTGAGAACAAGCTCCCACAAGGGAGAAGACAAAGACCATCTTCTCCCTTTTCCCATATGCTTCCATTATCTGCATCCACAAACCTAAGTTATTATTCAAGTGGCTCCTCACTCCAATCTTAAAGAGAGGCTCCATGGCCCCAAAGTGAGATGGCAAAGGCTCCAGCCCATAAGGCAGCAGAGCTGACAGAGGACAGGAAGAGCAGCAGACAGATTTCCACAGTACTCTTTATGTGGTATGCTCGGCATGCAGAGGGAGATTTGTTTTGATTTGGTGGTTTGTTTTTTTTCCCCCTCTCCTGATTACAGTTTTGAGGGATTTCTGCTGTTTATTCCATGTCTTCTGTACCAAAAAGGGTAATCAGGGGAGTAAACCTTCTTCATCTGAAGCTCTCTTAAGGGTCTGTTCCCACTTACACAAGTTTAGGACCTTGCCAAGACCACCATTTTTCTGGAACCATCATTTAGCATAGAAATCTCCTTCTGAATAAGAACTGTAACATCTCTGTTTGGTGTTTCTAATAATTACAGTGTGCGCAACTAAATTTTGGAGACCCATATCAGATTAACAGTTACTACTTCATAGTCTTAGGTTAAAAGACTACCCTGAAGTATCTGTACATGTTAATCACTTTTCTACACAGCAACTTCTTTTTAACACCCAAGAAAACCAAACACGTGGTATTATTTCACAACAAGTTTAAAAGGGCTGCTGGATGTCATTGTTGAGCATTGTAGTTATATTTTATAGTGTCCTTATATCAGGAGGGCAACATTCCCAAAAAACCATCTGCTTTGACTAAGGCATCCCTATTTTGATAGTCACCTTTATCCTTAAGTGCAGCACTGATGTGAACTCTGAAAATCTGGAAGTTTAGGTTTTCTTATGGAGAAAACTGAGTCCAATCACAACTGAAACGTAAGGAGGGTCTGATTTTTCAGATATAAGCTCTCAGATGGTTTGTTGAAGAGTCACAATGAGTAGCCACAATATTTGCCCAAAGAGTTGTTTTTACAGATCAAATCCTGGGATATTGACCATGAAGCTAATAGGATTTTCAAGCATTAAGCAGGTTCTCAATCCCTTGTAGGATCTGATCTTGATAGATAGGTTCCTCAGCACAGACTTAGATGTCCACAATTGATACTTCTAAGTATTAAATAAAGGCAACTCAACAGGGATTTACATGTTTAACTCATCATTTAGCTGCTTAGCCAAGCAGAGCCATAACAGATTTAGGGAACCAACCTCAGATACCCCAGTCTGAAAACTGCTTTGAATGCTTACTTCCTGAATCTTCAAAACTGGGCTTGTTGCAAACAGCTTTAAATATTCCTGTTTCCTTCAACTATGAGGAACTTCTGCCTCTACTTCCTTTTCTAGAGCAGACAGGATTCTGATGCATCATAGGGAGGTAAGGACATTATTTAAGGCAAAAAAACTGAATTCACATTAGAAATAGATTATGAAGTCAGTCCTGCAGTCAAAAAATGGTCTGATATTAGCAATCTAGTGCTTGAATGATTGAAGGTCCATAAAGATCCATAAGAATATATTTCCCCTCTACTTTAAAACTTTAAACAAATAATTCTTTCTGTTTCTGCTTTAACTGGCTAGTAGATATCTGATCTGTGACAGCCAGAGTTTATACATTTAAAACAACAATCCTGATTCAGAATTGTTTCTGCTACCTGAGTGCTCAAGTATGCACATTATCCAGTAACTGCTGAACTCTCTGGCAGATGGTGTAAACTAAGTCAGAAACCTCTCTCTGGGCCTCATTTTAGTCTTAATCAGACTGAGACTGAATAAAGAAACCAGACCTCTATCCCACTATTTAGCCATCAAATCATCCCAGCAGGCAAATGCCAAAGGAGTGATTAAGTAACTGTTCAAACCTATAGCACTGGATGACAGAGAAGAGCAGAGGGGAGCTACACTTCTAGGTCTGACCTGTGAAGAGTGGGGCCATCCTTCCTCCCTGGGGAAGGATATACAGGCCCAGTGGAGTAGCCAGGATTCAGCTGCAGGACCACAGGAATTCAGGGGAGCTCTGGTGATGAAGTACCGGGCTGGTGGGAGGCACATGGTAGTAGAAAAGCTTTGGAATTAATTCTCTCCTTCTCCTGGAAATCCACAGCAGTCAAACTACTCAGGGTAGCTCAACAAATTGGGTCATTGAAGGAAGATGGATTTTGTTTTCTTCCTCTGTCTTGTTGAAATTCAGATCCTCCATACATTAATAAAATTAATGCTGCTCTTGTGTTGTATCACCTTCTACAAATGTTATCAGAAATCCCTTTTTTTCCCTCAGTTTCCACACTGAGTGTGTGCATAGTAATAGCCAATGTGCTTAATCTTTACTATCTTGCATTGTGAGTGCATCGGGCCTATCAAAGATGATCAATGAAAAAAAGTCCTTACTTAGGATTTTAGTTGATGGGAGAGATAAAATAGCATGTACATCTGATTCTCTCTTTGTCAGAGGAAGTGGCAGAAATATTTCAGTTACTCTTTAAGGTAATTTTTGGAACTAGTGCCAAACAAAACCTTTCACTTACAGCACACAGCAATTCCTGCTGTTGTCAAGGCTAAATTTGTCTTACCACAGTGGGCTGTGGCAAGGTTTAAAACAATGTCCATTACACAGCAGCAGCAGCTTACATCTTGAATTAGAAAAAACTACACCTTGAATTAGAAAAAGGAAACAAACCAAATTTGTCCTTTTGAGAGAACTGGATACAGCAGGTTTTTCTTGGAACTCAGGAAGAGTCCCTGTGTGAAAGGGCTTTCATATCAACTTTTCAAGTGTGATTGTAGCAGGCAGATGATAAAAGGTCAGCTCTCAGGCACATGATGGGAATGGAAAACAGTCAAGTGAAGAAGCTGTCATTAGAGTGATGGAAATATTTAAAGGGAAAAAATGTAAAGAACAGTGCTGTTCAGTAGCAGCGAATTCACCATCTACTATAATCTAGCAACAGAACACTATCAACAAGCCATCCCACTGGGACCAACAGCAATACACACATACAGGCTTCACACCCCCACTTCAGGTTCTCTGCAGCATCTCAAGGCACAGGAACTCAAATTTTCCATCACCATTAAAACTGAAATCATAACCTATCCTTCAAGGCCTCACTGAGATTTTTGTGATGTTGTACAGGTGTCTAGCAGTGGTTTAAAGAAAAAAGCACCCTTTATTTTACAGAACTTGCTGTAGGCATGGTCTCATTCACTTTGAAGCTGCAAGAACAATCAGACAACTTGCAGTCGTCTCACGACTTCTTCACTGTATTAGACACTTATGTACTAAGCACACTGGTTATCTCCTTGCTATCTTCTCTTACTCAGCTGCACTATCACAGTCCAATCAGCAGTTATAGAAATGCACAAAGAGCTTCTCTTACCTAAGTGTCACTTAAAACATGGAATAGACTCAAAGGGAAGGAGTAAGTGGTGCAATCGCAGCACATTTCAGTCAAGGCACTGCAAACACAAGGCTCCAAAGTACAAAGGTATCAAAGGTTTCAGAAGGAGCAAAAGAAGGAATCTTCCCAGTCCTAGCTGCAGCCTCTAGGTATGGTATAAAGGTAAAGTGATGGTCTGTGTCACTGCAGATCACTGGTACATGATCTACAGAATATACAAATCACTTTGAGGTCATTGGGCCAATTACTGCTGTGTCATTTTAAGAAAGGTTATAGCTTTGATTTCTGCTGTTAGTAACATTTATCTATATGAGAACTGGAATATTTTTACTCCCTTGCCTTGCACAGATGTAAATGCAAGAGGACAGTACATGCAGAATCTGATCCTTCATGTTTTATGTATGCCTAAGCATAAAAGACTTTCTGATTTCTAAAGCAGGCTTTACAGATCTTTGATTTATTGATTTGAGGAACAATAACCCCTATATCAGTTGTTTTATGTTCTGTTTCACAAGTGTTGTTTCTCCTTAAGAGAGAGAAACCAAGAAAAGAATCATCTCACTAACACTGATATTCCCTCTTCCTTGCAGTTCAATGACATTGGCGTTTTTGAAACAGTCTGGCAAGTCAAATTCTACAACTACCACAAACGGGATCATTGCCAGTGGGGGAACAGCTTTGGCAGCATTGAGTATGAATGCAAACCAAATGAAACACGCAGCCTCATGTGGATCAACAAAGAGACCTTCCACTGAAGAGATGGGAAACCACTACTGCTGGACAATCTCCCTAAAGAAAAATCTACCTTTTTAAACCAGCAAGAAGCCTTAACAAAGGCATACTGAAAGGTTGCTTTGTCCATAAGGTTCCAACAACTACATTGTATATACAGGTGGTGCCACTAAAATATTTGCCTATTACTGTGTTTTAAGTTTACCATGGCATCTGCAACATTCTTTATCTGTCACCCTGAGAATACTGAAAAGTCTATGGTAAAGAATATCTGATATCTGGGTAGAAAGTCATACCACCATAATACTGTTGTAAGTATTTGGATTATTCCCCATAGATGTAACAACTTTTGTGAAGTGTTTTGCTTTATTGCTTAGGATTTGGATCAACATCACATTGGTGATTTCTGTATTTATGTTTGTGTTTGCTCCTAAATCGGTGTGTTCCTTCAAGCATTTTGTTGTACATGTCATCCCAGTGGACAGCAAAAAATTCAAAATATGGATATTTGTAGGTTTAGCTAAATGGCAGCTAATGCACTTGATATTGTGCTTTCACACCAAGGAATTTGGAAACTCATTCTCCCTTTTGTTAAGTGCTGTAAGATATTCTGTGAAGTTTGCTAATTTACCAAATCTCTCAAAATAGATTCTTTGTTGTTAAGTTTCCCAGTCTCTGAAATAGCTTTAGGAAATGTTATAAAGATGTGATGAAGGAAAAGCAATAAATCAATTGTGGTATCAAAGACATCTAACAACATGGCTAAGATCTATCTTAAGATCATATAATATTCTTGAGAGATACAGAAGCCATACCTAGTTTAGTTCTTTAAGTTCTGATGGTAAACTCAGTTTTCGTTTTAATGACACATTGCTCAAATCAGTAAAATCCTACAAATCGACATTTTCAAGCCTGACCACTGTATTACACCAAAATTGACAGGATTTCTGACCAACAAACACTCAGCAGTGTGAAAGGTGCAGATCCCAGTGCACAATTTACACATGCACTGCACTCTTTCAAATAAAGATAAGCATGTAAGCGTTTGCATGGTTATAACTAAAGGTGCTACATAAACACTAGATCAGTGTTTAACACAAACAGGCAACACAAAACAAATGTATGTTTTCTTTCAGTAAAGAAAGTAAAGCAAGAAAACAACTACACTTGTCCCTCCCCCAACTTGGGTTGAAGTAAGCTGTCTGCCAATTCTTGCATATCTGTTTTTCCCTTTGTGAATAATTTGTAAATTGTGTATGTAAATGGTAACCATGACTTTTGATCTTTGTAATAAAGGACTTAAACAATTTCTTGTCTACTATGGCCACCTAAATGAGATGAAAATACTGTATTAAAAAAGTCAGTGGCTTTAGAGAGTCAAACAGCAGAGGTTATGTAGCCAGTGCTTTCTAAGAATCCAGTTCAAAGTACCTCCTGTTGTTTACCCAAAGCTCCTGCTTCTAATTAATACAATAACACTCAATAGAGCTTATTAACATGCAGTTTGTTGTACTAACATAGTGTGGAAAGCAGGGATTTAGGGCAAAAGTAAAAAAGCAAAGAAATATTTTATTCCATTGAATCAAAAAGCTTGACTGGCTGCAGGTTTCTACAGACAAAGGAGCCTGACAGTAGTGCTGATGGAATACCCCACTGGAATGGTGAGCTATCCAGCTGCACCTCCACTCCAAGGCAACATTACACAGGCAAATTTTATTTAAATTAAATTCTAGAAATAATCTTCTGCATTAACTTCTTTCCTAGACTCTTCCTAGGAAGAATTCTCCAAAATGAAAAAACTGAACAAATTGAAATGAAATCTGCACTTCAGAGAGAAGTGCTATTGGCAGCACTTTAGCAGAAGTTTCCAGATAAAGTGCTTTAATGATTCCAAACTTCCAGTTGTCAATCAGTTCTATCTCTGCACTGCTAGAAAAGTGATTTTACTCTGCAACAATTGGCATATTTTGGTTTGTTTTGTTTGTACATATGAATGGAAAAGCACATTGGCAAGAAATACATATCATACATAGCTAGCAAAGAAACTTCTGTCCCAGTAAAATTAAAACATTTAAGATGGACCTTTACTTTGAGCTCAGCTTCCATGAAATCCTTGGCCTGTTCTAGCTCTCCAGCATTTAAGAAATGCTACAATAAATAAGTCCAGCCTATCCTGGCACAGTTGGACTGTTATTCTCAGCTAGCTGGAAGCACACCCTTCCCAAGGCAAATACTCATTCCCATATTAATGACAAATAGGGGATCACTTTTCTCACATCCCAGCAAGTCCTGTAGCAATTCAGTTCAGAGGGTAGTCAAGAAAGAGTCTGCAGATGGTGAGTTGCTTTTAAAAGGAAGGAGAGAACACCAAGGGAAACTGTGTCTTGCAGGGTCCATGTCCTGAGGCTGAATATCACTGCCCAGGATTGCAGCACCCCCATTACAGACAATGGCAGTGAGAATGGATGAGGACTGGTTAATGGCAGATTCAGGGAAGGTGTATCAGGAATTTATCAGCTGTTATATCACTCTCCCCTAGATGAGGTTTAAGCATACAGAAATGTGATTTGCATTACTCTTAAACAGAAGATTGTTCACATCCACACCACCAGTGCTGATATTCCACACATGTAAAGCAAAATAATCCCATCAATTTCCCCTTGCTCATCAAGGGCTTTGCTAACAAAGCAAACATTTGCTCCTAGTAAAGGAGATCCAAGACTTTAGGAGTTCTCTGGAAAGTAATGTTTTGGATTTCTTTCATCCAGGACAACTCTGTTAAATATTCATAAAGCTTGAGTCACTAAAAAACTGTTGCTGTGACAGTTTGATGCATTATTCAATCATCAGCATTTAATATCCAGACAAGTTTGTTCTTTACACAGCTTTTTCTAATTAATACTTCCATTTTTGTGTAGAACTCCAAAAATTCAGGACACAATACACTAAGCTTAAATATACATGTCAGAAAGTGCTGACAATGTGTCAATCCAGCTGAAACCACTGAACACTCATAGCTGGAGGTTTTATACCTGACAGACTTCATGATTTTTTTCTCATGAAGTGTCCAGCTGTCATTTTCATAAGAAAAAATTGAAACAAATATTCCAAATCTTTGTGTCACTTTTTCATCTATATTTAGAGGTAGCAAGTTAGCACTTTCAGACTGCTGACTAACAGAATTTGAGAGCAAGTTATTAGTCATGGTTGTTACAGTTGTGATCCTGCATAGGGCTTGTATGAGATCATTGGAGTTTGCACAAGGTTTAGAGCAGCTACTACAGGCTTTGTTATTTCCTACCATCTGACTGTTTATGAGAAAGAGATATTACTGCTTGAGTCTCCATGCCCTACTAACACATGGTAGGGAGGTTTCACTGGCTTCAGCTGAGGCTCTGTCCGTAGGCTTGCAGGTGCACTGACCCTCACTGATTCCAGACTAGCAGAGTTCCAGAAAAACTCATTTATAACATTCTTTGTATATAAGATGTAAGCAGAACTTCTGTACAATGAAGAGGTAAGTTTTGTAATACAAGGCTTTTGCATGCCAGCAGAGGTTCTTTCTCACTTGGTTAAGAGCATCTCCCTAATTTGCTTTGTAAAATTTTGATGTGTGGGCTATGCATTCTATTCCTCTAAAGTCTCCATTCAAAGCTTTGATGAAATAAGGATGTGGCACGTTGTAAACGCTAACCTCTTTCTCGGATGTGAAACAAGAGCTGTGACTTTCAGAATTCAAAGCACTGAACATTGCCTTAATATCTATGTCAACCCTGAAGCACAAAGAAGCAGTATAATGAGTTTACAACATTCATGTTTTCCCTTAGGTCCTCAAAGCAATGACTGGAAAGTCCCCTTAGTGGAACTAATCCAGATCTTTGGCTAGGAGAGGCAGGCACTCCTGCCTACAGGCCTTCCCTGCTGCATACTTGGCAGCTTTCACCAGCATTCCTTGGACTGCTTCCTTTCCTCCTCTTCCTGACACCAGCATTTAAGATTTCAAATCCCTGTGAGCCTTGGCTTTAAGCCTTAGGAACACAAGGCTGCATCAACCCAGGAAGAACCAAACCAGTCCTCTCTACCTTATTTCTCTGTCTCTACCATAGGGTTTTGTGAGTTCTCCCACTGCAATCATTGGAGTTTATAATCTTTTGACCTGCAGTGAGTTGCACAATTCAGGTATGAGTACAAAGATACAAACAGATCTTCATTGGAGACAAGGCTCAAAAGCAATGACAACTTTTTCTTCAATTTTGATGCCAAAAATATTAAATTTAAAAAAATAACTCATAGCAGCACATCTGCATTGACCAAGTGTATGGCTTTGATATTCTGTTTTCCCTCATTCAGACAAACTTGAGTCTCACTGCTGCCATCCATATACACATGCTTCATATGCTATCTGCAACACCTTTGTTTTCCTCTTCCAGAGAACAGACACTGCTAATCCCTTTATCCCAAGTACCAAGGAACAGCCTGGTATTCAATCCAGTAACTTCTGCAGCCTTTGAACAATCCTGAGAGAAGCAATAATAAATTCTCAGTTGATAATGATGAAGACAAGAACCATTTGACTGTGCTGGAGGTAACCTGGACCTTCTGCTCATTCTCAGCATGGTAAAGACAAGGTCAGGAGCCTCCTGCTGTTACAGGAGTGACTGTGACAACACCGTCAGTAATATCTACATTAAGCTACAGTGTATGTGCTACAGGGACCAAATGTTCTCGGAAGCTTGAACTGAATCTTTATGAGTTTAATGTGAACCACAGAAGGTCTGCAGAGAAGTGGCAGCAATGTGCAATATCACAACATACAGTCTTTTCTGACTGTGATGGATGGCACACTCTAAGTTACTATGCCAACAGATTCACCTAAGGTACTTCCACACTTCAGACTTATTGTGGAGAACAAACTGTGGCCAATTCTATGTGTAGAATATATAGTCTAAAGTTGGTATGCTTTTTTTTGTTTGTTTGCTGGCTTGGGTTGGTTTTTTGTTTTGGTTTTTTTTTTTAATTAACTACATAATTTTTAGTTCTGGCTTCTGAGACATCTACAGGCAAACTGAGTAGATGCAAGAAGTACCAGGGTATGAAAATACAACTGAAGTCATACCTATTCTGTATGGAAAATATGGGACTGAACTCCACAGCTTTAAAAGCATTAAAACAGAAACAAACAAACAAACAAAAAGGCTTCATGCATCTACATTGTTTAAGAGGTTTTTAACATTTTGTTTATCTGAACAAGGCAATAGCCAGATATAAATGTGCTAATCACTCCATTTTCAAATGCACAGTGCTTGCACTGAACTTTGCTATCCTCGAGGTGGATGGTTAAGAAAGTAAAAGTCCAAATGCACTCCAAATGCAGTCCAAATGCACTCCTGCACTTCCACCCAAACATATGGAGTTAATAGGAGAGAAAAATTTGCCCTAATACGCTAAAATGTGAATGAACTGCCCTTGCTTAAAACAGAACTGTAAGAACTTACACTGAACCATTTTAATACAAATTAAGTGTATCTCACTGAGGAAATACTTAGAGGGAGGTTGTTTATTTTAAATACAATGAAAAAGATTTCCTCTACAGATCATTTGCCCTATCATAGACAAAATATTTATTTTTCTCCAGGGATCGAGAAAAAAACATTTTGTGCTTGCAAACAGGTAGAGAATCAATTACATAATGCGGTGAAGGTCCCTCACTCAGCACCCTTTTTGGTGAATGAATCCACAGGAGACAGACTTTGTCCAGGCAGAACTCTCTTGAAACTTTATTACTCAATTTATATGCAGAATAAGGTTCCAAGCTATCCAGCCAGGCCAGATGTTACTTATCTGCAAACATTCCACACACACACTCTCGTGGTTGCCTTCAGCCACAAGGAACAATCATGCGATTCTTTTCACACACACACTAATCTTAGCTCTGGCTCACTCAGGACCACAATATTTTTGCTTTAATATTTTCTTCTTCTTCTTCTATCATCCAGATGGCTGGTGTTGTCTTGTTTAGCTGCTCCTACAACATAATGAGCTTACAGAGCTGAAAAATTTCTTGCAGGTTTTTTGTTTTATTTTAATAAAAAACTTTATCAATTCTTGCTTCTTTCTTCTTCAGCCCTGCAATGCCAGCAGCAGTAGCCCTCAAGCATAAATAAGGAAGTAAAGAAGGAATGCTGCCATATGCTTAGCTCCAGAACTGAGATTTGATGCAAACAGTACAAGATAATTAGCCACCTTGGAGTCCTCCTATAGCCTTTATTCTTGGAGAACCACAACTAGGACAGCTAAGTACATGATTTT